ATGCACACGCCATTCCGATATCGCAGGAGGGTCGGTGTAATGCACTACCAAAACGCCCGTAACTAAGAAACAAATGCTAATTCGATGATGCCGGCTGGCACACTAATTCACTATGAATGTAGGCCGCACCCCCTAAAGGCAGAAGCTCGTACTACATCCGGTTCGCCCTCTGTTGACACAGTCTTGAAACTTTCCGATCGCACCTCGTATACAGCTTTAAGATAGCCATCTTCTGGGTTGTAGTGCTATATAGTCTGGTAGAAGTTCGCCATTGCTTCAGAGGTCACCTTAATGATGGAAGCTCGCAGTTTCTACTGGAAGTACATGACATGTGTTAAGGTTTAAGGACTGGTCTGAATGTGCTCCATGTCAACATAACTGGAAAGGTGTAATCTGTACTGGAATACATACATTTATTTTTTGCAAATTTTAATTATTAATAAAAGATGACAACAGTTATCTTACTTTTACGACATTAGTTTTGAACTGTGCAGATCATCTGGTCTTAATGCTAAGAAGTGTTAATCATGTCTGATGCTCCATAAGGCATGTTTGCTTAGTGGTAGTGTACTGCTGAACTCATATGCATGGAAACATGGGATATAATTCTGCTGAAGTGAGAATTTTTTTTGTGCAACCACCATGTTGTTATTTTGTTTTATACAAAGAATTATGATCCAACATTTTGTTTTCCGAAAATCTCTCACCATACATCAATGTATGGCCCTATTGCAAGTGGTCTATTGTCAGTCCCACCTCACAATTTTGTTCATCTGCCATGTTGGTATTTCCGATTGTAGGTAGTTTAAAAGTATTTTGACGACAACAACTAAAACTTGAGCTCTATCTCAACACTGATTTATTTAAAAATCAATCTACAGAAGTCTACACTCAGGCAAATTGGACAAAACAGTCACCAAGACTCTAACTCTACAACTTCGTGACACAAACTCAGCTCTGTCTACATGTACTGTCCGCCGAGCTGTTCTGGTCCTCGAACTCGGTGCTCTTCACACACCAGACCACTCAGTGGCTTCTTGCTCTCACACTCACTAGCTCACAATCTCGCCAGTTCACTGACTGTCCACTATCCATCACGGTTCAGTGTTCCATGATTGGGCACTACTGTTCCACGCTGGACTATGTTAGACCCATGCTGGACTCTCACTCTGAACTTACACTGCGTTTTGCTGTTCAACACTGAACTCCACCACTGTTCACTTCTGCTCCATGCTAGTCCCGACTGTTCGATGCTTGATCACCATCACTCGTGGAGGAAACTCTCATATCTATCAGCTAATTTTAGGAACGTTCCAGGCCAAGAATCTCGCATGTTCTCTTTCCCGAACCTTCCTTTCAGCAGGGGAATACAACATTCTGGAACATCCTGCGACGGCCACACCCAAAGCTTGCATCCACTGGCGGGGGGGGGGGGGGGGGGGAAAAAAAAAAGTAGGGCGGCCCCTCCTCTACAGTGCAAGGCTTCAGCCCCATGTTGCAGTATTATTTTAGGGTAGTCCCCACTGGTATCATGTGCATATCAGATTTAATCAAAATCCACCCAGTGGGTGTCTAGTTAAATCATGTGGACATATAGACAAACAGACGTGACCAGTCCTTTTTATAAGAACCCCCGTGCTTCCAGCAATAGGACTATACCAACCCAGGACTGCTTTCCCTAGCAGTAATTGGTAAATAAGGGAACAATCTATATTAAGAAATAAAATTTTTAGGTTTTGTAAATGTTTCAAATATTTAAGATCAAATGTACATGAAATTTTGTACAGCAGAGCAGTTGCTGTTGCAGTTACGAGCACGTACATGAAACTCGATGTTCCTGGATGGTATATAGTTTGTTAAGAAACATTGTGATACTGCTGCAAGTCACACATTTTCCTCACAGCTGCTGGTGTTGAAATGCAGTTACACAAATTATATTACTCAATGGTCAATATTTTAATGGTGTATGTGGTTCTTGAATGTTTTGCGGATAAACCGCAGACCCAATGTACAGCGTGTTACATAGTATTTGTAACTCATAATTTGGTTATTAATAGATCATAAGCTACACACAGTTCAATAAAAACCTTACATGCCACCAGAAGATGATCTTCGTTAGATCGAAACATGTAGTGTTATAAGACATTAAAAGGAAAGCTGAATGTTTCATTGATATTTTAGGTGGATGAAAAATCAGATCTTACTACAAGAGTTTTTGGGCTTCCTGTATTTACAGTAACAAAATATGTGGTAACAGTGAATTACCATAGTACTGAAACAGTCATTTAAGGTATTTTATATTTGAAAAATTTTAATGGGGAAAATAACAAATAAATGAGGTATTTGGGTTAGAGATTTAAAGTAGCACACTACAGGAACAATTCAAAATTAAATAAAGAGACATTTTAAAGGAAGAATAAGGTCAAAGTTTTAAGAAAATAATTAAGAAGTTTGCGACAGATTTTGAATCTAGATCAAACAGCACTGTGTTGAAAGCACAAGCCAGAAGGAACTTGATATTTTGGACTTTTGAAAGTTGTTCTTCATGGTTATTGTTGACCTAGTGCGATCCAAGGCCATTATTGTAGCCAGGATGGTGGAAGAACGGGGATATCCAGGTCTGGTGGCAAAAGCAGGGGAGAGCTGGTTCCTGGGGTGAAGTCTTTAGAGACGCAATCACTGGCTGCATTGCCCAATGAAGCAAGCATCCTGGAAAAGAGGAGGGCTGGGTGATAAAGCTGAAGGGTTTAAATCATCTTGATTTGGAATGGGCATTGGGACAAAAATTATGGTAGGATTAACAATTAATGTGTCCGAAGAATCAAGATGTTATATAAATATTAAAGCTTATTATTTAATAAGAACCTGTGTTCAGCTATAGATGAAACTAGAAAGGGTCTTCTGGAGAAGAGTTGCATTGTTATTACTTCCAGTGTCAATTATGAGAATGATACAGTGAATTCTGATGGTGAGAACTTTTTCTCAGACACTTACATTGTTTCCAGAAGACAATTGTGGACATGCAAATAACATTAAGAGACTTGTTATTCAGAAAGCCTGGGAACTGAAGTTTTTATTTCTGTATGCAGAGGAACTTTAATGCAGGAAAATAAAAAATTAAAGTATTGAACTTAAGTCAAATTTGATATGGTAGCACCTTTTTCCAATACCATTAGTTCTTGCAACTGCAGAACCTGTGTTTAATTTGAATGAATTTGCAAATGCCACTTCATTTTGTATTCAGTGTCTTTTTCTTTTCTTTCTCTTAATAAGAAAATTATCCATGTTAGGGATAATTTAAAGTTACGAGAATATTACGCGCACATAAAAGTAAAACTCCCCAATTCAAGCCATGGACGTGCATGGGAGAGAGGTGTAGCTCCTACTTGTTTTTGAAGTTGGTAGTAGATGAAGACGAGCTGTCAGATTATGCCCCCAGTCGCTCTTTACCCTGGGGGAAATGACCTCCTAGCAATCGCTGTATAGGAGTCTGGGTGGGCATCACAGCCACTCTAGATGCAGAGGCTGGAAGAAGTATCCTCTGCATCCGCTGAGGATTGAACCCCAGTTATTCAGCATGTAGTCAATTGAGTCAGTTACTATGCTCACTGTGCTACGTAAATATACAAAATGAAGTGGTCTGTTTTATGTGGTGAAATTATTTTGTTCTTAACAATGACAAGGCTAAGAGTTTCACAGCAAATTGTGTTGTATTTTTATCATCTTATATGAAAACATGAATAATGGCAGGACTCATTAATTTTGAAAGTAATTATCTACACCCAATAGTATTTCCATTTTGCTGACTTGAAGAGCTGTAGATGTCACATCACCATGTTGATGGTAATCCATGTTAAGGTGGCAAGTAGAATAAAGCGTATTGTGTACACCAAAGTGTAATGTGCAATCTTCAACCTGAAAACAGAATGACAGCATTATTGTTCTAAGTTCTCATTTCTGTAATCCTTTTCATGAAGTTACTGCCACTTTTACACAAGTAACTCACAGTTTGTGTTACTTTCACTACAACAATGTAGCTTTTAAGTGGGTTATTAGTGTCATTACTGAACTGCAGGTGCTTTACCCCTGGGAAAGGATTGTCGCACCCATTGGATAGTAGGCTGGGTGGGGCCCAGAGCCGGTCTGAATGCAGTGGCTAGAGGAAAACTTCTCTGCCACCGATGGACATCAAATTCCAGTCGTCCAGCCTGTAGCTAGTAACTATACTGACTGAGCTATCCTGGCTCACTACATATTTCAGTACTTCACTTATATGAGATTGAATTACACAAAATATAAGACTGCAGTTTGTTCATTTCTTTGGTGTGTAACATTTTCCAAGTCCAGATTTAGGAGAGATTACTAAATGTTTTGAATAATAGAACAATAAATTGGCACTTGAATTAAACGTTATTTTTTCTACTGCTACTTTCAATTCACGGCCATCTACGATAACTAATTTTTCAACTTACCGCACTGGTATTTGTATTAGTACACTACAGCTTATTAAACATTTTGGCTGTACCTTCTGTAGCGTTTCTTTGCATCTTCTATCGTGTCAGTGGTTTCCTGTGCTACATAAATGCGCAACCCTTGCATAGAATCTCTGAACACAGACTGCCAATCAATGTTAGCAATGTTGAAGTCAAAGAGCTTTTGATCCTCAGGACTCATCCTTTTCCACAAAGTCTGCACATTGTCGTTTGTGAACTTCCACTGTTGGGTGGAGAAGTATGATATCACATCAACAAACTTGTGGATCTTCTTGTAAATATTCCATAATCTGAAAGAAAACAAGAAGTTACTAAAACTATTATTATGAAAGACTCTTGGGTTAGAAGCCACGTCAATTAGCTGAATGGTGAATAAACCAAACCTTCTGCCAACGTTTTGAGAACAATCTCTGCTTTCATCCTCAGGGATGCTGCTAACAAATCTGGTCCTTTTTTTAGCGTGCTTGCCGATGAGAACGTTGGCAGAAGATATGGTTTATTCACCATTCAGCCACCTGACGCAGCTTGTAACCTGAGAGTCTTTGATCAACTCCAGTCGCCACGAAAGCTTCACTTTATACATGAAACTGTTATGTTTGTATAAGTATTTTTTTATGTTTATTCCAGACAACAGATCAAATCCTAATGACGGGGATGGAGGTGGTCCTTGAAATGTTTATTGTTAACCAACTGATATGACTGTCAGCCTGAGAAGATTTTACTGATGGAACTGGTTTAACATAATGGCACAACTTATATGAGTGGCAGGATGACTTAGGGGAATTGAAGGAAACTGTATGTTGACAATGTCACTATCTTCCATGGTTCCTGAATCACTGATATTGTTGAACACAGGTTGCAAGTTTCTATAAGTGATCCATTATGGTGGGATGGAGAACGTATTTCTTTCTCTGCAGCTGTGGTCTGTTCAGAATACTAGATGATGAACAAAATCCAGGAACTGAGTAATACTAACTGTGAAACATCATTTACAATTGGCATTGGCCTTTGTTTCATATTGACCCTCACATCTGTAATGATCAAGGTGTACCCATTATCATTTTCAGAGTGCACAGTAATGTAATAATTGTGTAATTGCATAGATTACTGTATTTATAATTTTTATTGAAAATCAGCGATGTAAGAATTAGATTTAGTATAAGAATCAGTTCGAGATACATTGTAAAATGTTATAAGTAATAGTAAAATGTATTTTTTTCACTTTTTGGCTTGCTGGTTTCAAAATTGGCGTTATTCTGAATCAGCGCAAATTGAACCGGTGCAAATCGAGGGCTACTTGTACATTTTAATATTACACCTTTTTGATTTATGGAACTTAAATTCTAATTTTGTACACATGTAGGAAGTTGAAAATGCTGGTGTGGAAACCTACGCATACTTACATTGGCTTTTTCCCAACAAGTCTGGCTGCAGTATCCACAATGAGAGCTGGCAGGAAGTGCAGAAATATGGCATACAAATTGTGCATGATCTTATATTTATTAAGTGTCAAGCAGTAATACCACAGCACTCTCATAGGCGAGTATTCTTTCGTGCCTTCATTAAACTTCATAAACTGAGCCCATGTGAGAGGATTCTGAATTGAAGATACATAGTTCAAGATGGGAATATCATCATCTGGACCTGGAAGGTTCCCTGTTTGTTTTTCAGGTAGATATTGCTGTGATTTCAATCTATGAAACAAACAAAAACACTATATATTTATAATTTGATAAGGTTGGTTGTGCCCTTGTGAGTTGATTCCTCGCACATACGTTTGTTATTATTCTATAATGGTCCTCAATATTATGCACAGCAATCCCTTGTCAGCCAGGTGCTTGCCAGTCACAGATTTCAAATATTTTGCAGTCCACTTTTATGTCCATTTTTCAAGAACATAATCTCTGCAGTTGGCAACAGATTGCTGTACACTTTTAGAGCACTTTTTTGTGTTCTTTGTACAAAGTGCATGAAACACATTTCTCAAATATCCTTAATCTTTCTTCTTCCCTTGTGGTGAGATCACTATTTTCACACTGGGGTAATGTATCAAGTGAGAAAAATATGCTTACTATCACAAGATCTCCACTACATTCCTGTTGTAAGTATTGGTAATTACAAACTCCTGGGTAAACGTTAAAAGGGTCCATGAGATGATATTCTGCTGATCAATAAAACTGTCATAGTTGAATTGCGTGAAATGTTAGGTTCTCATGGTGACAATATATTGATTGTGGTGTTCTGGGTTGAGATGCCATGTAGTCATCCAAGTTGTTGCCAGCTTTTTAGAGGAATGTAACACCATCTCCCTTCCTCCAAAATGTTGGCAGCCACCTGCAAGACTAGATGGAGTCATCCCAGAAGATCACAGTTGACAGTGTTGAACTCATTACATCCATTTTTCTAATGTGACTGTAACCATGGAGGAAACATGATGAATTAAAATTTGTGTGTTTAAAGAAATGATCATCATGACTGAGTGGTTAGCATTTCTGTTTCATATTCAGGAAATTTTAGGTTCTAATCTTGGCTCAGAAATTAGCTGGTTTTCCTCAGTTCCTCCAGTAAAATGCAAAGGAAGTACTTTAAATTAGGCCATGAAGGAAGTTTAAGATAATACCAGTCAGACACCTGTACAGGCACATGATTGTTTACCTGTGTTGTGTTGCTACATCCCAAGCAGCAGCTATCGTCACATTAATAACCATATCGACAGGAACCACTTCTGCCAACATATCTTCATTACAGTGCATGGTCCTTATGAGTCCAGTAGCTCCATAAATGTTGTTGATCCAACCAGGGAAAGGTTCACGTGCGGTACTTATCACTATAAATGAGTCCTGTAATTGTGGGTGAAGTCGCGCTGTAATTATAATATTGAGTTTTTGGGGGGTTAAAGATGTTTTTACATTTTTGGGTTATTTTTTGGATTTTCTTTTGATATTTTGGTGTAGGGTTCTGTGTTAAATTTGTAAACGAATTTTTGTCGATCAATCGATATGGAACATCAATGTGATTTAGCAGAATATCATCTTTAAAACCATACAGAATGTGTGAACATTCTTCAATCTGGAAAGTTATTTACCTTTCCCATTCATTAATTTTAATTTTTAAAATTAATTTTTCGAAGGCAGTTGATGTATTTTATGTGTGATTAAAATGTTTGCTCACCAGAAACAACAGCCTAGTGTCCGCCATAGGAACGTGGTAGACACATTTAGTAGACTTTATTTATATCTATTGTAATTTTTTTACTAATATAATTATATGTGGTTTTACTCCTTTAGTATTTTTTGTAAGTGTTTTAGTAACATTTGCTATGTTTGCCACTGGTAGCTGTTTGTGGAAAACACTTTTTCTCTCATGATCAAGAAACTGTAAACAATTATTATTATAACATTCTAGCTTCCAATTTCAGAACCAATGCAAACAACAGAACAAGCAAATAAAATTGACTGTTACTTAATGAATATTTTGATATGTAACGTAATGCATTAAGTACTTCAAAGAAATAACCTAATTAGAACACATTATGTTCACACTTTTATGAAGTATCTCATTCAAAGAATATGAAGCTGGAAATTATGTGTGGTACTATACCGGAAACAACTGAAGGGCTATTCATAATTTAACTACTGCATAGGCTGTGTCAAATAACTGACAGAATGACTTCAAATGATGGAACTGACAAGAAACGAAAGAAATTATTCTGGCCTACTTTAAGATGTACTACTTCCTAGATGGACTGAGGAAACATTCCTGTCTGGTTAGCCAATCTCTGTCCTGAGATAGATTTAATGTGGGACCTGCCAAGAACAAAGATTTTCTTCATTTTGTTCAACAAACATTGACTAGTTCTAATAATTCTATAACATTTGAGAAAGTTTAAACAATGCCAGTAAATTCCACTGAAACTATTCATCATCAAAAGAGTAGACACAGAGTTTTGGTTTTAACTCTTAATGAATAAGTCTGCAATATTGTCAAACAGTGCATTAAGTAGTGATTATCACTGTCAAAGGATAAATCTATGATAGTGTTTGGCAAAAATGTTATCTTTGTGAGCTGATACAGTTCCATATGCTGTCCCCTCCCCCCCAATCACTATCAGTTCAATGTGAAATATACTGTTCTGCGAAATAGTGTTGGAGACAATTTTTCCGTAAATGTTCTTGGTTCAAAATTCTGAACACAATGGGAATTCGTCAAGTTACTGATAAAATTAGGTTTACTGGCTCTCTTCAAGACAAGAAACAAATAAAAAAATATTGTGCTGGGCAAGAGAAAGGGACCATATAAGATTAACTGTCACTGATATACCTTGCACAAGAGACTGGTTTTTATAAATCATCAGCAAGAAAACGATGAAATTGCTTTCACTTCGCCGTACGAAACAAAGTTTTAGAAATTACTTATGAAGAACCTTCATTAAGGGACACTTACATGTTTATACAGGACAGCGTTTTGCTCTTATGGAGTGATTCTAGACTCGCAGCTTTCAGTCATGCAACGTTCTTCTTAGTAATTCTCCATTTCAGTTACCATTTCCATAATCCTTTCACAATGAGAAACAGGAAACAAATATGAGCTACCTACCTATAGAAGGTCGCACCACTGCTATTGGCAGGCCCTTTCCAAACTCTCGTACTGTGTCTTCAGCAATTGATTTAGTGAGTGCATATGTGTTTGGCCAATCCCTCAGTATCCTGTAATTAGTAACATCTGCACACTTTAGTTGAAATATTAATTAACTCTTCAAGCATCGCCTACCCCTATAAGTCACTGCCATTAGAGTGACCTTATTTCTCACCCTTGAGTAGTTTATGATCTCAAAATACCTAACAAGTATTAATATGTGGGTCGCAGTGCTTTCACCAACTAACAACAAAAGCTTCCATTAGCTTTTTTTGTTACAAAGACCAATTTCCCTTTTTGGTCTGTGACAACGTTAAGAAGATCAAGTTCCATTTTTCTTGATCAAACCTCTTTTTCTGAACCTCACACGGATTCAACTTAACACTCTCCTCACTTGACGTTACAATCTCCGACTGCACTCCAGCCTGGGATTCCCATCCAGACAAAGAGCGGTCAAGTGGACGCTAGCCTCTCACCAGGCATAGCCTCGTTATCACGCGGCTTGCTACGCAGTAGCTCGTGATCAACTTGGTATTTCCCCCGACTTATCACAGTGCTAGCCTCGCGACAGGTGTCCAATTTCACTTATTGCAAGACCCCACACTTTTCTCGTGAATGACAACAAATCAAAAATACACTTTTGAAACACAAAAAAAAAAAAAGTAATAGTGATAAAAAAAAACAAAATAAAATACTCGTCAACCTATACGATGAGACATATGCATATCGCACTGGGCCACGCCCGACCACAAGTATTCGATACTTACAATTTCCATTTACTCATAAAAAAAAACTCACACCAGAAAATAACTATATACACAAGCTGCAAATTCCGTCGACCATCGTAATAAGCTTATCAGACTTAATTTTGAACCGAAATAGAGAACCAAGAATTTTGAAGCCAAACGAAGCCTAACGCACGTCTCCTTATGATGATATAAGATACTGGGTAACGAAAAAAGTCCCCCTGTGTGTTTGTGTGTATCTTCTTCACATCCATGGATTCTTAGCTTTGTCAGATGACAACAGGTTGCGGAGTAAGAAATAATATTACATTGTATTGCAGTGCAGCAAACAAAAGAAGGAAGGCCATACTTCAAACTTTACTTTCTTTATTTAAAAACTGGCTCAGTATATGAAGAGACTGTTTATGACATAAAACACCTATGTTGTTTGTGTAACATTTCTATATTACATCCTTTTTATTATCCGGTAGTTGTAGCTTTTTACACTGGTTTTCATGTAAACACAAGGGTTTTATGCTTCTGTAGCACATGTCGTAAGTTCCTGCGGTAGGTATACAGTCCATTGTACGTAGTGATTGTGAAGAGGTTATTTAAGTGTTTGTAGAAATGTGCCTGCGGAAACTTGCAATAATAATTATATTTATATAAACAAAATTTTGTATAGTACAGTTAAACATTTTGCATCGTAACGTATTCAATATATGAAGTACAAAATATAATATTTTATATTTTCAGAAAACTTTAACCAGGGAAACAGTTTAGTAAGGTTAAAACTTTGCATACCGTGTAGTGTATTAGAATATAAATTAAGCAACCAAATAAACTATTAACACTATAATGTTATAGTGTTAATAGTTTGTTTGTTTGCTTATTTTATAGTTTAGTAAGGGTTCAAGTATATTTTTGTTATTTTCCCAAAACGGAGGAGTTTTCTTTTTCTGAAATAATTTCTTATTTGTTCTTTGATCAAATGTGTGGTTCATAATGTGAACATTTATATATTTTTTCAGTGATTGGGATCTGGCACACCAAATGTCAACAGAGGGTTCAAGACTTCCATACTCACATTGGAGTCATAATGGACAGCACATCTTCATCCAGAAGGTCCACTAGCTGTAATACTTCTTGACACTGCAAAGGCACTGGATAGAACTTCTCCTCAATGTGTTTAATGGGGCATTGTGCAAAGGCAGATGATACATGGATGAACGACTGGAAAGAAAAACACCATTTGCAAAGGCAAGGAAAATTCCAAATGTATAAAAGAAAATGAAAGAGAAGAAAATAAGAAAGATGCAAAATGCAGAGTCTTTGAGCAATTGATTCTGTTCTTGTCTGAATAACTGGCAACATTACAGACTCAATTATGGTTGCAAGGAATAAGAGGTGCCTCCAGTAGCCCGTTCTGTTAAATTCTCTGCCTCAAAGTCTCATGGTACAACCTGTTTTTGATACTTCACTAGCAGCGAACCAAGGGTCTGGGGACCAGGTCATGATGGCTTAAACATTACATCAATGTAGGCATTATACAACCCCAAGGCCTAACTAAACGTAGAATACTGTTGGCAAACAGCCACTTAGCAGGACCATGTCCTCATTTCAGCTTTCATAAAGATATTTATTACTGTGGCATAGTGTTGAGAATGATGGTAAATTTTCAACGCAGCCTTTAAGTTTCTATTAAACCTTTCCACCTGGTTGGCTTGAGGGTAATATGGCGACGTTGTTACATGTTGAATCCCCCAAGAGAAACACATATTATAGAAAGCTCTGGATTTAAAGACAGTTGCATTGTCTGAAACAATACACTGTGGAATCCCATAGCAAGGAAAGAACTTCATCAAACAGCTAACAACAGCTTCAGATGTTATCTTCCTCACGGGGTACAAAGACACAAATTTAGAGAAGCCATCTAAGACCACTAACATGGCAACATTTCCCTTTCGAGTACGAACGATGGGTCCAACAAAATCAATGAATAATTTTTCCATGGGTTTTGTAACCACTTGACTCTGGTGTAATCCGACTTGAGTATTTCGAGCAGGTTTTGCTCGTTGGCAAGCTTGGCACTTCCTCACGTAATCAAGGACATCTGCCCTCATACCTTGCCAATAGAACACGTTAGAAATGCGACGCAATGTCTTCGTCATCCCTAAATGAGCACTCAAGGTGGAGTCATGGAAATACTCGAAGATCATAGGTTTCAGAGATTCAGGAACTACCAACCGCCTTTTTCCTTTTCCTCTTGAAGGGAAATAGACCAAGGTATCATTATGTAGGTTGTAATTTCGTATACTTGGATCTGATGCAGCAATCTTTTGACGCATCTCTACACAAAATGGATCTTTCAATTGATGCTCACGAATAGATTGGAAAGCTGCCGGAAGATGTTGCAGTATCAGACCAGAAAATTTAGCATCAGTTGGCACTTCTTCATATTGCCTAGTCAGGCAATCAGCCACCACATTGGTTTTTCCAGGGATATGACAAACCTTGAATTTAAAAGGAGTCAAACGCAAAACCCACCTGCCACTTCGACCTAATTCTTTCACATGTCTCAAGAGCCAAGACAAGGCTTGATTATCAGTGTGTAAGGTGAATTCCTTGTGCTCTAAATAGGCACGATACTTCTCACACCCATACACAACAGCAAGACATTCCTTCCCATAAATGGAATACTTTCTTTCTGCTAGGGACAACAAACGACTAGCATAAGCTATGGGAGCTAATTCACCATCACGTTTTTGATGTAAAACAGCCGAAATAGCGACATCACTTGAGTCACTTACTAAAACGAACTCTTTAGAAAAATCAGGAAC